TTACTGTGGTGGCTGGGACGGCAGCAGCAATGCTGGTCAGGGTCACAGTGATGCTGAGGTTAGTTTTTTCTGTCCTGTTCGTTCCTACGCCTCCCCTGTGTGGGGAAGAGCTGCAGAGGGTAGGCAGTTGGCTCCCTTTTGCACTTGCACCTGTTCTGGCTCTGCCTTTGCAGGGTTTTGTCTGCATCTCTGTCCCGATGCCACCTCCCCTCTGGTGCTACCAGTGCAGTGTCGGTGTGTGGTGCTGAGCACCTCCTGCCTTGCCCCAGGCACCTGCAAGCCACGGTTTCCGTGGGGCAGTAGCGTCGTGCTGCTGGGCAGGGGGAGCTTCTGTCCTCCTTGTGTCTGAGAGACTTTCCTTGGAGATGAGCAGAGGTGGGGTTTGGGGGAATCCCAAACTGGGCTGCGTAGGGACCCATTGGCTCTGGGAAGGTCTGTCCATTGCAGGGCTATGCTGTAAGCCACCAGGCACTATGTCTCCCCTTTCCATTCCCCTCCCGAGTACTCTGGGCCTGGCTGCATTTGGGGGCGTTCCTGACTCATCCCAAGGGGTGCGGAGGAGCCCAAGAGCCAGAGCCCATGTGCCCTGGGTGCTTTGTGCTGCCGTGGGGACAGAAGGTGTGTGGGGAGAGGGTGTTACCTGGGACACATTTGACCTTGGAAAGTCCCCACCGGAGCTCATGCCCCCTGCCCAGGCAGTCCCCCGTCTCTGGTCTCCATGGTGGTGCCTCTCACCAGCCCGTGCTGTGCTGGAGGTGCCTCCATTCCCTCTGTCACACACTGTCTCCCCATGCAGCTTCTCACCGACTGGGGACCTCCTGCATGCAGCCACTGGCTGCTGGCCTGGACGTGGCCTCGTCTGGGGCATGGGCAGGGGTGTCTCCAGACTGCTGCAAACTCTGGGTGCCCACGGCAGGTCATGCCCCTGGGCTGCCCGGTCTCAGTGACAGGGATGAGGTGTGCCCCGAGGGGCAGCGGGCAGGGAGGGTGTCCAGCCTCTGGCTACAGCCACCCCTCAGGGAGTGCCTGGGCTTGGGGCTGCACCCAGGGTGTCCCATCCATGTGGCTGCAGGCAGAGGAGTCCCGTCGCTGTCCCGCTGCCCGGGGAGGGCTGTGCTCCTGGGGCACTGGCTGACCCCCGTCTTCTCCCCTCTCTCCTCTCCCTCTCTGGTCTGCAGGCAGGGCCTACTGAGCCGCCCTCAATGTACGTGTCCCCAAGAGTAAACACTTGGATATCCTGCTCCAAGATTAACAACTACTATGGCTGGTTCCAGCAGAAGGTTCCTGGCAGTGCCCCCGTCACTGTGATCTATGCTAATGACAAGAGACCCTCGGACATCCCTTCGCGATTCTCCGGCTCCAAGTCCGGCTCCACGGGCACGTTAACCATCACTGGGGTCCAAGCCGACGACGAGGCTGTCTATTACTGTGGTGGCTACGCC